GGGAGTTCTCACTGGACACTGCCCCTCGATGGTCCATCTGAAAAGGATGGGCAGGATAGGGGACCGAGTCTGTCGTTTATGTAGACGACGAAACGAAGGAGCACTTAAATTTAAATAAAAAAAACCTTCCGCTGCTATACTGCGGTTTGTTAGGTATTTTGGTATTCACATTCTTTTTTAAACTCCCAGCATTCAACAATTAAATTTGTAATTAAATTTAAAAATTTTTCAAACCAAAAACGATACTCACATTTAGAATAAAATATAATGTCTATATATGTATATGCAAATTGAAATATTATGAGTTTTTTCTTTCTTTCAACAAAAGATAAAAATAATAAAATATAAAATTTCAAAAAGTAAATTAAAAAAATTTAAGAAGAAAAACTCAAAGAAGAAAAAATATCCTTTTATTTTTTTTTGTTTGCTTTTTTAAATAAACAAAAATAACAACTGTTTTTAGTATATTTATTTATAATGATATAATATATAGGTACTTATATATTAATATAATCTACTATATACATTATACTATTATATACAAGATAGAAGTATACGCAAAGAGAAATTTATTTTACCTTTAAATATGATATTCGAATTCAAAAAAATGTGCCTTTGCCTTATACTTGTGAAATTTATATGTAAATACTTAAATCTTTGTATATAACATATTATATATATCTATAGGTACTAAAAAAAGAACAGAAATTGTACGTCACATGCTTACGCCAATGTGATTCCTGTTGCGCATCCTTTTACACACAAAATATTTTATAAAAATAATCATTTTTTTTACGTTACGTTTTTGTTTTGTTATCGTTCTTTTTTTTTCGTTATGTTTCTGTTTTTCTTTTATTATTATTTTTTTCTTCTCTTCTTGTTGATTTTTCTTATGATCCTGGTTATTTGATTTTATTTTTTATTCATTTTATCTGTTTTCTTGTTATGTTGTTTTCTGAAGTTTCTGTTTTTCTTTCTTACAACCTGTTTCAGTTTCCAATTTCTACATAGGTGTATAATAAACTCATACACTCATACATGTTCCAATGTGATTATATTATATTATAATACATACGTATGCATATATGTATTATTACATACATACATACATATGCATATATATATGTTTATGAGTACATTTGCAAAATTTGTATCGAAACGTATATGCAACCTAAAGTGTAATGCCAGAGACACATTAAAATCCTTTGGAACACATGCATAGAATTGCTTTTATTTAATTTTTTTTTATTTTTTTTACACCTTATAATGTTCGTTTATTTTATTATGCTATAAGGACATTGCTTTTTATAATGTACACAATTTTCTATAGTTTTTTAACTTTTTTGCGTTTATTACACATTCACTTATATATCTTATATATGTATTTACTTTAAAATACAAAACCAAGCTAAGGACACTAATAAAATACTACCTGTCCTTATGTATAAAATACAAAGCTTACGAATATATAAATATACTCGCATATATAAGAGAGCAATTTTAATAAAACTTTCGCGTATGTGTATGTGTGTGAGAGTATTAATTTTTAGAAGAGATGCTGAAAGAGTTAGAGAGGGTTATGTACTTGAACAATAACACATGTTTAAAAATAATACCCGAGTCCAAGGTTTTTTAAGTGTTAAAAGAAAAATTTTTTTTCAAGTTCTTCTATGTAAGTTTATCTAAAGTAAACCAAAAAGGAAAACAGAAAAATATTGAAAGAAATATGAAAACAAATGAAAAACAAATTAAAAAAAAAGTTTTTAACAGAAACATTGAGAGAAAAGCTTTTTATTATAGTAAATAAAATTACAACAAACTGTAAGAGAATGAAAATTAGAGAGAAAGATAAAGAGAGTGAGAGCCATTGTAAAACTAAGAGTTGTGGTGCAAGAGAATTAAAAACTATAACATGGTAAGTCGATTTTAATTATTAACTTCGAATTCGATTGTGCTACTATCGGCAAAGTTTTAAAAAAATCTAGATTAAAAATAAAAAGAAAATTTAATTTGTATATAAAAACATTCTTGTTTTGAATTGTAAAGTAGTTGCCCTACAATTAAAAAAGTCTTCACTCATTTAAAAACACTTCATACAGGAAATAGTACTGAAGTTGGACATGAGATAATATGAATAATAGTGTTATTAAAACATAAAAAATAAAAGATTATATTAAACAGAGTTGCCATGATCATACAACTTATCACTTGAATTAAATCGCCCGAGTATAACGGTCCGCGGTTGACATGACCAAATTTATCTATTCTCATTTGTATGCATTGTTAAATGAATTTTTCTCTTATTTTAACTTTTATAAAATTATCTTGTATTCTCCCTTCTCACTATACGTACAAGAAAAATGAACTCTTTTAAAAATTATACACGTTTCTCTTTCTCTTCTCTCTTATTCAAACTAAAAAATTTTCCTCTTAAAATTATAATACTCGTACGAGTATTCTCTCGACTATGGTTTTTTCAACATCGAATGACGTAAAAAGGTATTTTGTTTTGTATTTTTTTTTTCATCTTTATATAGAAATTTATATTCAATACACACATACAGTGTATCATAATACGCATTCATAACATTTTATTGTACATACAATTGAACATTTAACATAACACGCAAAAAATATTACAGTCAATAAGAATTCAACCTTTTTTATCTTCTCTTCAACGTATAATTTTCGTTTTAAGGACTTTGAAAGAGATGAAAAAGTTAAAAATATGAAAATAAAAACAAAATGAAAATCTGGACGTAATAGAAAAGTACATCGGAATGTTTTGCATACATACATATATATATACATACAGTATATATGTATATAGATTAAACTGTACTACAATTGTAAAAAAAAAAAGATAAAATAATATTTTCCTTTTGGGAAAGAAAGAAGTGAATTGGAAAACAAGAGACAAGAAACAAAAATTCAAAGTTCTTTTTTTTCACTTTTCAAAATTTAGTTGCTGTCGAAACTCAAAACGTTAAACCACGGACAATTTGAAATTCGTTATCCTGTCGGTTGAAAATAAGAAAAGGAATTTTTTGTTTTTTATTTTCTTGATTTTTTTTTCGCTTATTTACTGTGTATGAACTTTTGTTTTTGTACTTGAAAATTAAATAATAATAACAAAAAAAGTAAAAATAAGAGTAAAAGTGAAGGGAAAATTGTACATTTGTGCTTACATACAAATGTACGTACATATTCTCGATTATAATACAAACTTACATACATACGTAAATGTAAAAATATTTTCGTTTTCAGTTTTGTTTTTTCTTCTTGATTTTTTTTTTGCTTTTGTTTTACAAGAAGTACAATAATAATAGAAAGGAACAATTGAGCGGAAAATCTGTTTTTATTCTTAGCAATTTTTTTTTTTGTTTTTTTTTTCGATTTGTTGTTTTTGTTGTTTTATTGTATATTGTTTATTGTATACCATATTTTGAATTTCAAGTTTATTAAAGTATTCTAGAAAATTTTATGGTTTGAATGATTTTTTTTTGTATTTTATTTTTATTTTGATTTTGAAGGAATTTTTTATTTGTTCGTATAGTGAGAGTTCGGGGTGTCCGAAGAAGAAAACAAAAAAAAAACTTAGTTATTCTGAAAAATATTTCAATAGAACTGAGATTTTAGGAACAATAAGAAGAAAATAAAGTGAAAATGAAAAAAAAAATTTGATTATTTTTGGTATTGGATGCCAGCCATTCTTCTCTTCTTTTAATATTATTCAATAATCGCCATCATACTGACTATAAATTTTATTTTTATTTTTTATTTTTATATTTTTGAAATTTAATTATTTTATGATTGAAATTTTTCTTTCCGTTTTCATTGTTTTTATAAAATAATCTATTTAACAGGTGTAGCTACACAAGATTGAAAATTTTACGATTTCTTTGGAAAATATCCGAAATTTAGAATTGTTGAAAATTAAATTTAATAACTTTCACCACTGATTATTGGAAAAATAATTGAAAGTGTTTTTGTTTTAAAGGAGGAAGGAAAATTTTTTGTTCTATCATAAATATTATGTTTGATTTACGATATACCAATTGAATTGTAAAATGAGTGAAAATTAAATGTTTTGTAAATATTTAAGAATATTTTTGATTTAAACTAAAAATTAAAAAATTAATTTATAATAATATTAAATATTGCGTTTATTTTTAAAATTAAAGTAAAAAAAATTTTGATTTAAATTTGGTGTTATTATTATTCAATGACTTTGAGGTATTAAAATTTTAAAACTATAGAAGAGTATAACATTGAATAATGAATTAATGGTGTGTACAAAATGCAGTAAATACCACTACAATTCGAATATTGAAATATTCTAATTAAGTAATTAGAAATATTTGGAAATTTCAAGTGAAAATTTTTAATTCATTTCTAAATGCTATATTAAAAATATAAATTTAATAATTTTAAAAACTATTTGCTTATTGAATGTTAAACATTACTTTTAAAATGTGAAAATTGTGCAGAAGTTCAAAATTAATGGAATTTTAAATGAAACGATAAATAATAAAAATTTGAATTGTGTGTGAAATTTAACAAGAAAAAATTTTTTTAAAAATAAATTCAAAAAGAAAATTACAATTAATTTCGATTATTAAAATAGCTAAATTAGAAAATATTTAAAAATTCTTCAGAATTAATTAGGGCAAGTGCAGAAACTGAACGTGCTAATTGCTAATAAAAAACCGCATTAAAAAATTCAAATGTGAAATTTTAATTTTTTGAATATTTTAAACTTAGTTCAACATTTCAAACTTAAAGGAAAATTTAATAAATTTTTAAAATTTAATCAGAAAATTTCGATTTTAAAAATTATGTAAATTGGATAATTAAATGTAAAATAGCTTGAACAAAAAAAAATATTTAAAAAACAGAAAAATTTTAAGTAATTAAAAAATCTTATATTTTTGTTTTTTAATTTTTTTTTAAATAAAAAAATAATTAAGTAAAAATTAATCTAAGTCTATTATGTAGATCAAATTTTTTGAGATTTCTGCAATTTTAAATCACATTTTATTATAGGTAAATATAAAATTCATTATAATTAATTATTAATAATAAAATGTAAAAAATTTAAAATTATTGTTTAAATACTATGATAGTAGGTTAGGTTAGGTTGCACAGCCCCCCGAAGGGTATACCTAAGCCACAAGGCGCGTTGTGAATTTTTATTTTTATATTAATATTCTCTAAAATATTAAAAATCTTTCAAATTTAAAGAATTGTCTATTTCATAGTAGATTAATATCAAAAAATAAATGAACTGATAACCAATGATAAATTTTTTCCAGTCAGCAAAAATTATGTATGGGTTATACTTGCTACCTTATGCACACATTTCATTTTATGAATGATTATTACCGTCGACATGGAAATGGAAATACTAGAAATTATTTGGTTTTGAATTAAGTTGTTTGATTTATTCAAAATTTAGAATTGAAATTGTCTATAATTATTCCAAAAACTCATTCACAATTCTATTGAGGAATAAATTTAAAATAGCCCTTATTCAATATAATAAAAAAATAACAAAACAACAAAAGCAAAGTGGTTTAATATTTTTTTAAGGATAAAGGATAAAGAAATTCTTTAATATGTATATGTACATTTTCCCCCATTTTTTTTTTGGGTTTTCAAAAGGTCATGAGCCATATTATACTTTTTGTATTGTGAATTGTGAATTTGTGAATTTTTATTTTTATATTAATATTCTCTAAAATATTAAAAATCTTTCAAATTTAAAGAATTGTCTATTTCATAGTAGATTAATATCAAAAAATAAATGAACTGATAACCAATGATAAATTTTTTCCAGTCAGCAAAAATTATGTATGGGTTATACTTGCTACCTTATACACACATTTCATTTTATGAATGATAATTACCGTCGACAGTGGTTAATTTATTTTTATAAAGAAAGTAAAATATTAAAGAATGGGGCGATACTGTCGCATCACTGTATTGTATAATCTTTTTTTTAACATAATCCGGAATCAATAAATAGAATTTTTTTAAAGATTTGATTTATGATTATACTCAAATATTATTATATTGTACGACGGCTTCATTAAATATATTGAATCATATCCCTGGTTCTTAGTTTCTGAACACATTCGCAGTTCTTGTATCGTGTTCGTTTACTAATCCTCATAGCTTGTTTGAGTGCAAAAGTACAACAGATACTTGGTATATATATGTATTATTTGTATTGATATGTACTGATGATTTATGTACGGATAATTTGTACTGATTTTATGATATAAGTGATTATGGTATTGCTTTTAACCGATTTTATAATGAAAGTATTAAAAAATACTTTCAGTCGACGTTCTTATGTATTAACCTGGTATTAAATTCCTAATAGCTTTATTTTGTAATGTTAAAAATTTACAAATTTTTAACATTCTGCCCATAACTCATTTCCCAGAATAAAAGTCAATAGGTTATATTTGTATGGAATAAACTGAAGTATATAGACATTTAATTCTATTTGGTAAAAAAATGGATGCCTTTGTTTTCCTGAAAATGAAAATACTTCAGTTACTCTGCGGCATCTTTTTGTTATTCCGCCAATATACTCGACTTTCTATCATTTCTTGTATGTTTCATTAGCATATGTTTCGGCTTGTTTATTGTTAGTTTATATATATGTTTTGAATATTGTTACATTGTCTTTATATTGTAAAAACAACATATATAGCTACTGCAGCTATGATAATTAAAATTTATGTAATAAAATAAAAATTGCATATGTTTAGGGGCAGTAAAATTTAAACGAAATTAAAAACAATTTTGCATTTTTTAAAGCTTGATAGTTGACAGCAGGTTTTAATTGCTCGAAACAACAATAAAAATTTAAGTTTGGGAAAAAATTTTCAATTTAATACGATGATAGAAGAGCGAAGTATCCGAAAAGTATGCGACCCGTGAGCTTGATAAAAAGTTAGCTAATTTAAAATTAATTTCATATTTCTAAAATTTTGCTGTTAATTTTAATATTTTTGTGTTAAAAATAATATTGTGATGATTTTCATTACCAATAACTAATTTTTCGATTAAAAATTTTATTTCATACCATGCCCTTATCCTTCTTTTACACAGAGACTTGAAAGAAGAAATTCAATTTATTGTTGTCATAAGAAATTTAGAAATTACTCTCTTTTCAAGATAATCAAGTGAATAATTCAAATTTTTATTATTTCAAATAAATTTTTATCGCGCATTTAATAAAATTTCAAATTAAATATTTCATGTGAAAATGTTTTGTTTCACTTTAAATTCCCCTTAAATTTTTAATTATGTTGAGTTGTAAAGCGAACTCATTAGTTTGAAAAAACAAACACCAAAAATTCAAAATTCTCATACGAGAATTTTTTCTCTTTTTTCTTTTATTTTAAGATTTTCCTATTAAAACTCATTTTAATACTTTGACTTTGCTTACTCTGTGGTTACCATAGAGTGAAGTGATGTAGAGAATGAAAATGTGTGAAGAGGGTCGTAATGAAGACTGAAATTACAGTTGAAAAATAAGGAAAAGACGAAATTTTTTTTTGTCATTCTTGTAATTAAATTCAAAATAATTTTCTTCGTTTGTTCTTGTCTTCGGATGTGTTTTGTAAATGTAAAAGTGTAAATTAAATTTAAAAAAAAAAAAAATTTCATTTTTATTGCATTACATAAAAACGAATTTAATGACGAGATGTGAAAATTTGTATGTGTGTGTGGGTAAAATTAACATTATTTGTGTGTTGTAAGAAAATTTTTCGTGACTTTTTCTTAATTTTTAAATTACAATTTAAATATTTGTGTGTTTCTTGTGGCATAATTATATAGTATAAAAAAAACCAAGTTTGTTAAATTTAATAAGAAAAAAATTAATATTTTTTTTCATAGTTTTCAATTATTTTTAATTATTTGTTTAATAGCATTTGTAAATGTTTGAATGTGTGCTGCATGATTGAGATTTATAATTTATGACATTGTTCTAAAAAATTTTTTAAGTAAGTAAATTTAATTTAATTAAGGCTTTAATACAAAAATTCAATGTTTTTAATGTGAACCATTTATCACTAAACAAGTATTTAAGTTTTATTACAGTATTGAGTTGGGGGAAAGCTGCAATTCCTGAAGCATCAAAACATTTGTTTCATTAATGATAAGAACGATTTTTTTTTAATTTTCTTCTTATTAATTTTAGACAACTTTGCAGTTGATAGAATAGAACGGTAATTTTCAGGAAGGGACAGAACGGTAATTTTTCAAAAGATCGTCAAATTATTCGATATTATTCAAATTGTAATATTAACCGGAAAAAGTGTTAATTTGTAATTATTTAATAATTTTATTCCCAGATTTATAGAATTTGCTTGACAAACATGTATGTATGCAAAAAATTTTGACATTTAACCCTAACTTTAAGAGGTTGAAAACCTCTGCTATAAATCAATATTGTTGCAATCGTTATACTTTTAATTGTTCTAATTCAGCTATAAAACGCCTTTCTTTATATTTTCTCACATTAAATCATATTTTCCATATAATTGAAAATGTTGTCAAACTTCTTTGAATATTAGAATGTCACAAAATTCCTATAAATCTCTTATTTGAATTCAAATTAACTAAATTATTTTTTTATACAATGAATCAATCGAACACTACGATTATATCGAACTCAAACCGATTCTAGTAACTGAATCAAGAACAAATTTTTTTTATTAATTTTAAAGGTCTTATTTTAATTTAACTATATTATAGCTACTTTAACTATAATATTATTTATGTAATTTAAAATAATAAATGAAGTGTACAAATATTTTCAAGTAGCTCCAATAGTATTTAGAGAAACTAAGAGTCTCTGATATAACAAACTTATATTTGTAACGTTGTATTCATTTTTTTAAAAACATGATATACTTGCACAATGAATTTATTTGTATAGGATGGTCATTTTCTATAATTTTACATATAAAGAATGAGTTCAAGTGCCTTTATTAAGAAAGGTTATTCTATTTTATATAATTTAATATCCTATTTTTTTGTATATTTATTTTATAAAACAATAATCTATAAATTTTTTTTGTATCCTTTCACCGGGTTAATCTTATTTGTAAATGAAATATGTGAAAAATTCGATTAATCGGAAAGACAAAATGTTCCTGTACTTTCCATATGTAAGAAATGATTTTACAATGGGGGTTTTATAATTGCCTACTAGTTTGAGAGCCACGGCTTTAATATCTAATTTAATATAGTTTTTAGGTTCTTGAATTGCATATGTAATTTACATAGCTGGAGTTGAATGATAAAATATCCTCAGGGTTTATTTGAAAAATAATTAATTTGCTATGAAATACAATTGAAAACTTTCTCACATTCGAATAAATTTTCATAGAATAGGTTTGTCTAATTAAACAGTTCGAAACAGTAATGGAAATACTAGAAATTATTTGGTTTTGAATTAAGTTGTTTGATTTATTCAAAATTTAGAATTGAAATTGTCTATAATTATTCCAAAAATGTGTAACTGATTCACAATTCTATTGAGGAATAAATTTAAAATAGCCCTTAATCAACATAATAAAAAAATAACAAAACAACAAAAGCAAAGTGGTTTAATATTTTTTTAAGGATAAAGGATAAAGAAATTCTTTAATATGTATATGTACATTTTCCCCCATTTTTTTTTTGGGTTTTCAAAAGGTCATGAGCCATATTATACTTTTTGTATAGGCTAAAATGTTATTTAGTGTTTCTAAAAATTGATTATTATTAAATTTTTGTTAATAATAAAAAAAAAGAAAAAATTCAAATATATTATTGATATTTTCTATTGTTAAAAAATTTTAATTTGATAAATGTACGAATGATAAAATTTTGGGTTCATTATGGATTTTTATTCGAAATTAAAATTTATAAGCTGGTATTTAAGCTATAATATTAAAATAAAATTTTGTTGACTGCAGTTTGTCAAGGATCTACGAATTAGACTCGTATACCCTTATTAATTTAGTCACACAATTTAA